GATGAGGGCCAATGTATGAACTAGGTAGGGAGATGAAACAACTTTTGACATGAAATCCTGATAAGGTTCAGACTAGCATTTTCGTAACGATCGGTCTAGGAAGGACAAAACGAGAAATTTGAGAAAAATTCTAGAAAATCCTGAAAAAATGGGAAAAGTATAAATTGGAATTTTTGAAAACTTAGTTGAGGCTTTAAAGGTGAAATTTCGGTGAAAACAAATTATTACGGAATTTCCCGTAAATAGAGGTTTTTCGGGAAATTATTGCGAAATTGAAGAAAAATAATTATATTAAATAGTTGGAGGCCTCAATAAATTTGGAAGAAAGATGTATAATTCATATAAATATTTATTTGAATTTATGAAATTATTTTTAAGCCTTTGAAGCTTAGGAATAAATTTTAGAGAATTTATTTTCCCGCAGTGACACCGATAAAGGCCTAATCGGAGGAAATTCAAAATAAATACCTAAAGGTGGCTAAAAATTCTGAAATTTTTCATATCATATTCTCATATTAAAAGGTGAATTATCATGGAGAGAAATGAACTTTTGGAGGTATGGAGAAATTATGGAAGGTTACTAGTGAATAGTAACCGATAAAGTTTCAAATTAGTTTGAGATAGTGATTTGGTTTGAGGGCCAGCCTTTTGGACCAGCCCAAACCATTTATGGGGCCCACATTAAGCAGAATAAGAGTCCAATTTCATGTAGTTTCTAGGTCCCTCTATTTTTATTAAAATAAATGTGAAATTAAGGGATAATTGTGTGGAAAAATCTAGAGAAGGGACACTTGTTTTAAATCTGATCATTCCAGCATTTGATGGCTACCACCTACACCCTTGAGGTGTCCCAAATTTCATCTAATTGAGGGGGAAATGGCAGACCAATTTTTCTATAAATACCCCTTGGAAAAATACGAATAAATGTTAGAAAAATTGGAAAAACAAGAGTAGACTCTGTCACTGTAGCTCCATTTGGCCAAAAATTTTAAGGGTTTTGCACAAGGAATCATCCAACTTACACCAAAGAAACATTAAGGTATGTCTAAGCACCACTATCCCTAAGTTTTACATTGATTGGATTAGGATTTTGGCTTGGAAAAATTATGGGAAAATGCTGTAAAATTCAGTCCAGCCATATAATGCTTAGGGAAGGATAGAAACCTTAATAATCAAGTGGAATAAGCAAGATTAAATGGTTTATGGATTGGTTTTTGGAAGAAATTACACATAGGGTTTTGGTTCTCCATTTGGGCCTGGTACTGGTCATGGAGTAAGAGATTGTTTTTCATTAATTTGATGGTTCCAATGGCTTTAAAACATGTGTTTGTGTAGGGAGGTTTGTTGGGAGGTGTTTAAAATCATTGGAATCAAAAATAGAATTTTTGGAAATAAATACCCCCTATTCAGCCAATCACTGTTCATGGGGAAGGAGTTAGATTTTTGAAAATCTGATTGCACCATTGAATTCCTCATGAAAGATTATGTAGGATTGAGCAATGAGGTTATTGATTCTAAAGGAGGAATCATATGGTTAAAAATCAAAGAAAAAGGGGAAAATTATTAAGTTAAAGTTTAAGAATTGTATTTAAGTTGTTTAGGAATTAATGTGGCCTATGTTTATGCTTGGTTTAATAGGTATTATGAAGAGGAACTAAGAGGAAGCTTTGTTCTTGAAGTAACCAATTGGACAAGTATTAAACAGGTAGCTTTGAATTATAATTTGATCGTTAATCTTGCTTGTTTGATGTGATTTGTTGGTTGCTTGGATAAAGGAATTTGTGTTGTGGCATGGATTGGTTGAATAACATTGGTTTATGTTTTGGCCAAATGCATTGAATCATGTCATTGTGGAAGTGTTGATGTTCCTCGTTTAGTATGACATTAAGTATGATTTTATGTGGTTGATTACGCCTTGAGGTATGATAACTTGTCACATGTGAACTTGCTTGATATATATGACAATTATAATTCATATGCTACTGAGATTTCTTGGAAATCTCATTCCCCCTATGTCAAATTGTGTCTCAAATAGGGAATGATTCATCCGATGGCAAGGGCAAGCAAATGATTTTGGGATCGAGGAGCATTTTGGAATTGATGCTGTTATGTTATGGTTGTATTTAGATATGGATGATGTTATGACATGCATTATACCTTACCCTCATGCCCTAATATTGGAATTATGCATGGTACATTAAGGAAAGAATGTGAAAAAAGAAAAAGGGGAAATAAATTAAAGAAAGAGGCAAGTAGGGGATAGAAATTCCCTAAATAGTGCTAAACTTGTGGCACATAAAATAATGAGCAATTGTTGGAATTTGGGCATGAAATTTTACAAGCTTATAGATCTCATTTTCAGCTTTAAATCAAGTAGTAAACCATTAAATTTGGAGTTTTTTTGCTAAGAGTTATTCCCTTCCAAAGTTGGGCAAAAATACTAAAAATTTAAAAATTGACAATATGAATAGTGCATCTTGTCGATTTTTCTGGTGCTGTTTTGGATGGAATTAAATCCAATGAATATTTTTCCTCCATAGAAATCTTAGTAAGCTTCGTGTGAAAATTGGAACCATCTCATTTCAATTTTTCTAGAATTAGTTATGAAGTTTCAAAGTTGGCCCATTTTTGGATGAACAGTATACGGACAGAATTAAAGGTGAAATTTTGAAACCGAAATTTTTCATCCAGAAACGCCACGAAACATGTTATAGTTGTTCCAATTGACGTATAATGGGTTATAAAGAGAGGTGTGACACTTTTTGGTATCAGAGCAAAGGTTCTGACTTTGTTTCTATGCACTTTGTTTACTGTTATGTATTGTGCATAATGATTGATATTGTGGATAGTGTTTAGTAGTTGCACTGTTCTGACTATTATTGTTGAACATGAATTGTGGTTGTCTAATTGAATGCTTCTAGTTGGGATTATATGTGGGGTGGATTGGTATATTATAGATTGAGTTGAGTGCAAGGAGTTATGGCCTGCTGTAGCAGTGACTCCTGGGAAATGGTAAACTAAAAGATACAGAGGGAACCGTACCCAGACTGGTACCACCCACATGTTTCTGACCTTGATGATCCGACTCCACCATCCTGATATTACCAACCTCTCTGGGAGATAGAGCATACATATTCAGAAGAGGACTCCAATGACCTAGTCAAGTTAGAGAATGGTGATGCTCAGAGCACCACAAGACTCCGACCACATCCGGATGAGGCGGGTCCCATTACCTATCCGAATGGTAAAGCCAGAGAAGATTAAGGCCAAGGATCTACCAATCAAGAAAAGACCTTTGTTAGTAAAGAAGGTATTTAAAGATCATAATAGTCTCTTCCAAGAATTTGTTGAACTCAGTAGACACATAGATCCGACCCTGAATCAGTACGTTATAGTCTACCAGGACTACTTCTATTACTTGAGATTACTACATAATGAAGTAGTCAAAGAGGGTCAGTATGTAGATGATGCCCTATGGTGCCGTGTGTTACTAGAGACATTACCTACTACCTGAGTTTGGCAAACACAGATTTGATCGCTTTACAAATCCTCTATGCCAATGATTTTGATCAGTTGCTAGACGATTTAGAACTTTTTGTAGTTACTTTGTTTCCCTCTTCCTCTACTAGGTTGTCAATACAGGATAACTGTATGCTATGCTAATGGTGGCGGATTGTGGCCCTACATTTTGTTAATTGTGCCGTTGCATATAAACTGAAAAGTAATATAAATATTGTTTATCGTAATTAATGATTATGTTCCTCTTGTAGTTAAGACGAAAACGATAAAATTGTAAGAGGAAGATGAGGATCAAGAGGTAGGGGAGCTAGTACAAGAGGAGAATCATCAAGGCCCCTTATTTATCTAATGAAAAGGATAATGGAGAGGTTAGAGGAATAGCAAAGAACCAAGGCTAAGATACAAGCCACAAAAGCTAGGTAAGAATAAGAGAGGGATGCTGCTACAGCTACAGCAGTAGCAGTAGCACTAGCATGGTTATAGCAACCAGGGCAAGGAACAGCCGGGACAACCCAGCCCATACTACCATAGCAACCATAGGAAACCGCTCCTGTGAGACCTTAACCTATTACAGAACCTAATACACTGCAATAGTGGATTGTTAAGTTTGGCAAACACAACCCTTCTGCTTTCGAGGGAACCTTTGACATGCAAGTAGCTGAGGATTGGATAACTTGGCTAGAAAAGATCTTTGCTATTTTGGAATGTTCATCTATGAGGAAGGCTTAGATGGTAATATACAAGCTAGAAGGGGAAACAGATAGATGGTGGAAGAACACCGAGTTGGTTCTTCAGGCCAACAAAACCCCTGTTACATAGGAGGTGTTTAAGGATCAGTTTTTCCTGAAATATTTTCCTCAATCTATAAGGGACGAGAAAGAAGCAAAGTTCCTCACTATAAGGCAAGTAGCGAACGAACCTTTTGACGAGTACTTGGCAAGTTATCCAGGTACTCTACTTATCTCCAACACATGAATGATGAATGATAGTTCACGAAGAAGATGATCAGGGGGATGAAGCCTGAGTTGAGAGAGAAGGTAGACCTGAGACAGCTAGAAGTTTTTAATAAGGCAGTAAAAGTCAGCGTATCATTGAGAATAGCCAGAATCATCCTGAGCTGGCTAGAGCAACCCTATGAGCCAAAAGGCCAAGGACGGGAGCAGGTCAGGAAGGTACTTCTTTCGGTGGTAGCCAGAAGAGAAGGAGATTTAACTAGAACAGGACATCAAGGCAGGGAGCCCGATGAGGAGCAATAGAGAATGTTCACTGGGGAGCAGAGAATGTCCGCCAAGGAAGGGAATGCGAGCGTTGTGGCCATAATCATAGAGACAGGCATGATAGGTCAGAGCGTGTGCTTCAAGTGCAGATGACCCGGACACTTTGCTAGGGAGTGCCTGCAAGGTGCCGACAGCATGGGAAGACCTCAGGCATAGGGCAGGGTATTCACCCTCAGTCGGGAAGAGGCTCGTAAGTCACCCAAGATGATCCAAGGTACGTTTACTGTGAATGGTTATCTTGTGGATGCTTTGTTTGACTCGGGTACTATCCACTCGTTCATATCATATGATTGCACTAGGCTCTTAGGTCTTGCTGTCAACGCATTGCCATATGATTTGTATGTTTCCTCTCCTACGGGAATAAAAATTTTAACTTCTGCTGTTTGTTTAAACAGTATTGTCCAGTATGCCCACTGTTATACCACGTTAGACCTAATATGCATGCCTTTTTGTGATATTGATATTGTCCTTGGTTTGAACTGGTTATCCTCCCAAAATATTCTCCTTGACTGTAAAAGCAAAACACTGATCCTTCCTACCCGGGAGTTAACCCCTACAGCAGAAGTGAAATTGAACATGATTTTAGCAGCTCGAGCAGATAAATGGTTGAGACAGGGTTGCCAAGGTTATATGGTATTCTTCTCAGTGAAAGCAGAGACGGAAGAAGGGATTTTGAATATCCTGGTAGTCTGGGAATTTCTTGAGGTATTTTCGACGGAGATTAGCAGATTACCTCTTAAAAGGGAAATTGAATTTGCTATTGACCTGGTGCCTGGAACAAACGCAATTTCAAAGGCTCTGTATTGGATGGCTCTGAATGAGATGGTAGAACTAAAAAACCAACTAACGAAGCTATTGGAGAAAGGGTTCATACACCCCAGTGTTTGTCCGTAGGGTGCACCAGTGTTATTTGTGAAGAAGAAAGACGGTAGCCTGAGATTGTGTATTGACTACCGTGAGTTGAATAAAGTGACTATCAAGGATAAGTACCTGTTGCCATGGATAGATGATTTTCCAGATCAGTTGGTGGGAGCCACTGTATTCTCGAAGATTAACTTAAGATCAAGGTACCACTAATTGAGGATTAAAGCAGAAGATATCCCAAAGATTGCTTTTCGAACGAGGTTTGGGCATTATGAATTTCTGGTGATGCCATTTGGTTTAATGAACACACCTGCTATATTCATGGACTACATGAATAGGATTTTCCAGCCATATTTGGATTAATTTGTAGTGGTGTTCATTGATGATATCCTGGTATATTCTAAATCACCAAAGGAACACAAGCAACATATGCAGATTGTGTTAGGCACGTTGCAAGAAAAGCAAATGTATGCCAAATTGAGCAAATGTGAATTCTGGCAAAATAAGGTAAAATTCTTGGGTCACGTGATTACCCAGGACAGAGTAGTGGTGGACCCAAGTAAGATAGAAGTTGTATTGAATTAGGAACGGCCGAAGATGGTAACTGAGGTGAGAAGCTTTCTGAGACTAGCAAGATACTATAGAAGGTTTATACGGGATTTTTCTCAGATTGCCCTACCACTAACCAAGCTCACCCAGAAGAATCAACCGTTTAACTGGGATGCAAAGTGTGACGCAAGCTTCCAGCAGTTAAAACAGAGGTTGACCTTGACTCCCGTGTTGATAATCCCTAATCCTATGTTGCTATATGTGGTATATACAGATGCGAGTAAGCAAGGATTGGGATCTATGCTGATGCAGCAAGGTCGAGTAGTTGCTTATGCCTCATGACAGTTAAAGACCCATAAGGAGAACTATCCCACACATGAAAGAGATCCCGCTATGGTGAAGAGACAATTATCTCGCTTGGAAACATATCTGGGCAGCATTAAATATATGACGGGAGCTGGCAGTGATTGTCTATGCCTTGAAGATCTGGAGGCATTATCTATATGGGGCAACCATCGAATTGTACTGTGATCATAAGAGCCTCAAGTACCTACAGGACCAGAAAGAACTCAACATGAGACAGAGAAGATGGATGGAATTGCTCAAGGATTACGACTATCAAATAAATATCATCCAGGGAAAGCAAATATAGTAGCAGATGCATTAACCCGGAAGACAGTGCAAGTGGCATCATTGATGATAAAGGAACAAGAGCTGATCGAGAATATCCAAGATTGGGATCTCACCAGCCAGATACGACTCATGGCGGGCTAGATCGGTATTACAAAAGCAGAAGCACAGATCATTGAACAGATCAAGAAGGCCCAACAAAGAGACCAACTAGCCGATATTTTGAAAACCAAAATGCTGAGAAATGAGACAAGGAACTTTGAGATAACTCAAGAAGGGATCCTAAAATATAAAGAAAGGACTTACATTCCCCCAAGTTCAGAAGTTAAGAAGCAAATCTTAGAGGAGGCACACAAGAGTCGATATACCATACATCTAAGCATGACCAAGATGTATCGACATCTTAAAGAATCATTCTGGTAGCCTGGTATAAAGAAAGATGTGACGGGCTACGTGTCAAAGTGCCTCACTTCTCAAAAAGTAAAGACAGAACACTAAAAGCCGTCAGGATCCCTGCAACCATTAAGTATTCTAGAATGGAAATGGGAAAGCATTTCTATGGATTTTGTCATAAGACTACCTCGTACATTGTCAGGTTATGACGCAATGTGGGTGATTGTAAATCGCCTGACGAAGTTAGCTCATTTCTTAGCCATCAAGAAAGAATATGAACCAAAAAAGTTGGCACAGATATACATCCGTGAAATTGTGAGGTTGCACAGAGTACCTAAGACAATTGTCTTTGATAGGGACCCAAGATTTCTCTCTAGATTTTGGAGAGCATTACAAAAAGCCATGGATACTAAGCTAAGTTTTAGTACATCTTATCATCCTCAAACTGACAGGTAGACAGAACGTAAAATTCAAACATTAGAGGATATGTTAAGAGCTTGTGTCCTAGATCTCAAAGGGAACTGGGATGAGTACTTACCACTGACAAAGTTCGCCTATAACAACAGTTGCCATTCCGGTTTCCAAATAGCTCCTTATGAGGCTTTGTACAAGAGGAAATGTAGATCCCCATTGTGTTGGATTGAATTGGGAGAAAGGAAGATATTTGGTCCCGACTTGGTAGAGCAAACTTCATAGCAAATAAAGATGATCCGACAGAGGTTGCTTACGGCACAAAGTAGATAGAAGAGTTATGCTAACGTATGAAGAAGGCCTCTGGAGTTTGAAGTTGGAGATCATGTTTTTCTAAAAGATTCTCCAACTACGGGTGTAGTAAGATCGATCAAAGCCCATAAATTAACGCCAACGTTCATCAGACCCTTCCAAATCTTGTCAAGAGTTGGCCCAGTAGCTTACAGATTGGCCCTACCCCCTAATCTGAGCTAGATTCATGACATCTTCCATGTTTCTCAGTTGAAAAAGTATCAGCCAGATCCCTCACATATCTTGAAATATGAAGGCATAGAGCTGCAAGATAACCTCACCTTTGAGGTAAAACTGGTAAAAGTAATAGATCGGCAGATTAAGCAGCTGCGGAATAAGACTATTCCGATGGTCAAAGTTATTTGGAGGGATCTAACTCAAGAGGAGGCTACGTGGGAAAAGGAGGATGACATGAAGGCCAAATATCCATAATTGTTTAACTAAGGTATGCTTTTTTAAATTTCAAGGACAAAATTTATTTAAAGAGAGGAGGAATTGCCACATCTCAAAATTTTTCACCTGGCTATAAAGGATTCAAAATTAGGATGAGGGTCAATGTACAAACAAGGTAGAGAGATGAAACAACTTTTTATATGAAACCCCGATAAGGTCTGGACTGGCATTTTTGTAACGATCGGTCTAAGAAGGGCAAAACGGGAAATTTGAGAAAAATTCTAGAAAATTCCTGAAAAATAGGAAAATTACAAATTGGAAGTTTTGAAAACTTGTTTGAGGCCCGAAAGGTGAAATTTCGGTAAAAGCAAATTATTACAAAATTTCCTGTAAATAGAGGTTTTTCAAGAAAGTATTGGGAAATTAAAGAAAAATAATTAAATTAAATAGTTGGAGGCCTCAATAAATTTGGAAGAAAGATGGATAATTCATATAAATATTTATTTGAATTTATAAAATTAGTTTTAGGCCTTGGAAGCTTAGGAATAAATTTTAGGAAATTTATTTTCCTGTAGTGACACCGATAAATGCCTAATCGAAGAAAATTCAAAATAAATACCTATAGTGGGTAAAAAATTCTGAAAATTTTTAGATCATATTTTCATATTAAAAGGTGAATTATCATTAAGAGAAATAAATTTTTGGAGGTCTGGAAAAATTATGGAAGGTTACTAGTGAATAATAACCGATAAAGTCTCAAATTCGTTTGAAATAGGGATTTGGTTTGTGGGCCATCCTTTTAGACTAGCCCAAATCATTTGTGGGGCCCACATTAAGCCCAATAAGGGTCCAATTTTGAGCATTTTCTAGGTCCCTCTATTTTTATTAAAATAAATGTGAAATTAAGGGATAATTGTGTGGAAAAATCTAGAGAAGGTTAAATCTGATCATTCCAGCATTTGATGGCTGCCACCTACACCCTTGAGGTGTCCCAAATTTCAGCCCATTGAGGGGGAAAACGGCAGACCAATTTTTCTATAAATATCCCTTGGAAAAATACGAATAAATGTTAGAAAAGTCAGAAAAACAAGGGGAGACTCTGTCACTGTAGCTCCAGCTCTATTTAGCCAAATATTTTAAGGGTTTTGGATAAGGAATCATTCAACTTACACCAAGGAAACATTAAGGTATGTCTAAGCATCACTATTCCTAAGTTTTACATTGATTGGATTAGGATTTTGGCTTGGAAAAATTATGAGAAAATGCTGTAAAATTTGGTCCAGCCATGTGATGCTTAGGGAAGGATAGAAACCCTAATAATCAAGTAGAATAAGCAAGATAAAATGGTTTATGGATTGGTTTTTGGAAGAAATTGCACCTAGGGTTTTGGTTCTCTATTTCAGCCTGGTACTGTTCATGGGGCAAGAGATTTTTTTATTTATTAATTTGATGGTTCCAATGGATTTAAAACATGTTTTTGTGTAGAGATATATTGTTGGGAGGTGTTTAAAATCATTGGAATCAAAAATAAAATTTTTGGAAATAAATACCCCCTATTCGACTAGTCACTGTTTATAGGGAAGGAGTTAGATTTTTAAAAATCTGATTACACCATTGAATTCCTCATGAAAAATTGTGTAGGGTTGAGCAATGAGGTTATTGATTCTAAAGGAGGAATCATATGGTTAAAAATCAAAGAAAAAGGGGGAAATTATTGAGTTAAAGTTTAAGAATTGTGTTTAAGTTGTTTAGGAATTAATGTGGCCTATGTTTATGCTTGGTTTAATAGGCATTGTGAGGAGGAACCAACAGGAAGCTTTGTTCTTGGAGTAACCAATTGGACAAGTATTAAAAAGGTAGCTTTGAATTATAATTTGATTGTTAATCTTGCTTGTTTGATGTGATTTGTTGGTTGCTTAGATAAAGGAACTTGTGTTGTGGCATGGATTGGTTGAATAACATTGGTTTATGCTTTAACCAAATGCATTGAATCATGTCATTGTGATTGATGTTCCTCTTTTAGTATGGCATTAAGTATGATTTTATGTGGTTGATTATGCCTTGAGGTATGATAATAGGTCACATGTAAACTTGCTTGATTTACATGACAATTATAATTCATATGCTATAGAGATTTCTTGCAAATCTCATTCCCCCATGTCAAATTGTGTCTCAAATAGGGAATGATTCATCTTATGGCAAGATAAGCAAATGATTTTAGGATAGAGGAGCATTTTGGAATTGATGTTCTTATGTTATGGTTGTATTTAGATATGGATGATATTATGACATGTATTATACTT